TCAGGTTGAGGTTGCGGTGGCCAGGAGCGGCCACTGCACTCCAGTCTGGGCGACAGAGTGAGATTCCAACTCAAAAAAAAAAAAAAAAAAAGAAAGAAAGAAAAAAATAGGCCAAAGTAAACAGTACATATTTTAAAACAATTAAATGATAACAGATAAATACTGGACGCGGTGGCTCGGGCCTGTAGTCCTAGCACTTTGGGAAACTGAGGTGAGGGGATTGCCTGAACCCAAGAATTGAGACCAGCCTGGGCAACTTGGTGAGACCTCATCTCTACAATAAAATTTAAAAATTACCCAGGTGTGGTGGCGCGTGCCTGTAGTTGCAGCTTCTTGGAAAGCTGAGGTGGAAGGATCACCCCAGCCCAACTGGTTGATGCTGCGGTGGCTGTGAGCGTGCCACTGCACTCCAGCCTGGGCGATGGAGTGAGACTCCAACTTAAAAAAAAAAAAACAGAGAGAGAGAGAGAGAGATAAATACAAAACTGAGGACAGCAGTGACTTCCAGCGGGTAAGGTGAAGGAGATTGGGATGGGGCTGGGGAATATTTCAAAGAAAGATGCTGGTAATGGTGAACTTGGGTTGTTGCTGCGGTTGTTTTCGGGTGGAACTCTTCATGAATTTGTTTGTCATCCTTGCGCAAGAGCCATGCTAATCTTCTCTTTCTGGTTCCAATTTCAGTATATATGCTGCCAAAGTAAGCACTATTATTGTTTTTTTTAATTGTGACAAAATATACATAACATGAAATTTACCATTTAACCATTTTAAAATGTGCATTCAGTGGAACTAAAGACATTCACATTGTTGTGCAACCATCACCACGATCTACCTCTAAAACTTTTTCATTTGTCCAAACAAAAGCTCTGTCTTCATTAAACACTAACTCTCCAAAACCTCTCCTCCATCCAGACCCTGGCAACAACCATCCTATTCTGTCTTTGTGAATCTGAACACTCTAGTGACTTCATATAAGTGGCATCCATACCATATTTGTCCTTTTGTGTCTGGCTTTTTCACTTAGCACAGTGTCTTCAAGGTTCAATCATGATGTAGTGTGTCAGAATTTCCTTTCTTTTTAAGGCTGAATAGTGCCAGGCATGGTGGCTCACACCTGTAGTCCTAGCATTTTGGGAGGCATAGGCAAGAGAACTGTTTGAGCCCGGGGGTTCAAGACGAGCCTGGGCAACTTGGCGAGACCTTGTCTCTACAATAAATCCAAAAATTAGTCAGGCGTGGTGGTGTGCACCTGTAGTTCCGGCTATTTGCAATCCAGTTTGGGCAAGAGAGGGAGAATCCTACTCAAAAGAAAAAAAAAAAAAGGTTGAATAGTAATCCATGTTTCTTTCTTTTTTAGTTTTTTTGAGCTGGAGTCTTACAGTGTTGCCCAGGCTGGAGTGCATTAGGAAGCTTATTGCCACCACAGCCTCCATCTGCTGGACTCAGGCGATCCTTCAGTCTCAGCCTTCCAAGTAGCTGGAACCAGAGGTGTGCACCACCACGCCTGGCTAATTTTTTGATTTATTGTAGAGATGAGGTCTCGCTGCCCAGGCGGGTCTCGAACCCGCGGGCTCAGGCAATCCACTCACCTCAGCCTCCCAAGGCACGGGATTACAGGCTGAGCCACCGAGCCTGGCTTAATTTTTTTATTTATTGTGGATACGTGTTCTCACCAAGTTTCCCAGGCTGGTCTCGATCTTCTGGGCTCAGGCAATCCTCTTCCTTTGGCCTCCCAGAGTTATGGGATTATAGGTGTGGGCCACCTCACCTGGCATATTCCATATAGGTCATTTTGTTTTACCATTTATCCAGTGCTGAACATTTGGGTTGTCTCTATAACTCTGCAGTTATTGTGCACAATGCTGCTATGCAGCCAGGTGTCATGGCTTACGCCTATAATCTCAACATTTTGGGAGGCTGAGGTGAAAAGATTGCTGGAGCTCATGGGTTCGAGGCCAGCCTGGGCAACTTGGCAAGCCCTCATCTCTACAATAAATCAAAAAATTAAGTCAGGCTCGGTGGCTCAGCTTGTAATCCCACGCCTTGGGAGGCCAAGGTGAGTGGATTGCCTGAGCCTGCGGGTTCGAGACCCGCCTGGGCAACTTGGTGAGACCTCATCTCTACAATAAATCAA